CTCGTTTCCATCGGAGTGCGCAGGCGCCCCCGCCATCTCGTAGTCAGAGTCGGCGGAGGATTGGCACTCGTCAGTGATCTCCATCTATGCAGGTTGCCCGGCGATCGGGGTGCCCGGCCAATCTGCGAGATCATTCTCGTCGTGGCCAACGAAAACCTCCTCGTAAAGCTCCTCGGCGCACCTCTCGAGGGATGCGCTGGCGCCCGTGTGCGTCGCAGACGTGAAATGGGCAGCGGCAGCAGGGTCATCCTCTGATTCGGCAAACAGACTTTCGGAATCAACATAATGAATGCCGGAGCCGGTTCGAGCCGCGTGCGTCGACGGACCCCTGCCTCTCCCGTCGCCCCGGGGGCGTTCACGATTAAAATGCTGGGTGCCATGGCAGCTGTCACGCTCCATTTTCATCCGTTGTCACCATTCGGGTTGCCCCGACGTCCCGTGCCTTTTCCTGAGGCGCGCCTGCGGCCTCTACCCTTCCCCGGGAAGATTTCATCACGCGGTGGCCCCGTAAGGGATGTCAGGAATGTTGGCGCGCCTCTACCATGCAACCGTCGTCGCGTGCCTTTGCCTCTACCCTTGCCCTTTGACCTAAACGCGCGTCGATCTGCGCGTCGTGCCCTTCGAGCTGGTTTCTTCATGAAGTGCCCCCATCGGCGTTGATGCTTCAGAAGGCCCAAGACTATCACGTGTGATTGGTGTTCCTCGGCGAGGCGGGAGGCGCATCAGACAAGTGTAAGTTGCCAATTCCTTGATCTGACAAAATGTCAGCATCGGTGCCTGGGTCAAAGTCGGACTCCGCGGGCTGCCCCGCCGAGCCCACTAAAGTAATGGCTTGGGCAAGGGCCACCGTTGCCGACGGCCAATGCCCGGGGGCCCAGGAGTCTTGCGACCCCGCGGGCTGGCCACCTTGCTGCCTTAGTAGAGCGGTGGCCTCGTTGGGTTGTAGATCGCCGTCCCAGGTGGTGCTGACAGGTCGCCCCGCATGAGTGCCACCATGAAAGACATCAGAGCGGTGGCCGCGGTTAAACAAAGCACCAATGTTACCAGGGGTTCGCTCAGCCATATGAGCGCAAACCCTCGTGCGCTCTAGTAAGGAGTCGACTTGTTGCTGAGTCCTTAGCATTCGGTGGTTCAGTGGTTGTAGTAGTGGTTGTGCGCGCGAAGCACCGACACCTAGGGCCCCGAAAAGCATGACTGTCAGGATTGTTGCACCCCGCAGCGTCAGCTTCAAAGCGTGCAATCTCGAAACGCGCCAGCGTCTGGTCGATCCGTTCTCCCGCTTGGGCGCGAAAGTCGATGAGAGCCGTCCCCGAATCCAGCTGTCTATCATTTTCTATATTCTCAAACGTAGTGCTGTAGGTGGCCCCATCGGTGTGGTGCCCACCAATGTTCACTCCCAAATTGATTATGGCTGAATGGGCTCTCGTGGCATGGGTCCTTGCGAGACCCCCGAGGCCGCGCTGTAGAGAAGAGGCCTGTTGGGAGGGAGTCGTAGCGCCTGTGGTCACGTTGATCCAGGCATGTACCTCGCGAGCAAACTCGCGGGAAAGTGCGTGACCGGCAGGGCCCCAGGGGGGGCCGGTAGCGCGCGCGTCGTCTGCGCCGCGTTGCACATGTCCAACAGCACAATCGATGGTGACCCAGAGGAGGCCAAATATAGTGATGCAAATCCAGTGGCCCCGTAAGTCGGCGTCGGTTGCAGGTGGCTGTTGTTTGTGAAGTGACGTTGCCGTCAGTTTGCGAGGAGGTGCAGACGGCACGATGTCATAACGCATGTTACCATGAATGGTATCTTCGGAGAAGTTGCAAGATTGGCGTTGGTTAGTGGCATTCAGGAGAGTAGTAGCACAGGGATGCAGGGTTCAGGTAGGAAGCCTCTGCGTGAGCAGAGGCTTCAATGCAAGTGCCCTTGCGATGGCCATGGTCTTCTCCGCGTAGAGCCACTGCGCCCTGATGGTCCACCATATCAATAGTCCACAAGAGCGCGCCGTGGATAGCAAGGAGTAAAGCTAGAGCTGACCACCAATGGCCAGCTCCGGCACCAAGTTTAAAGCCAGTTGGGAGACCCAACCAGATACTTCGCCTAAGGCGAAGTATGCGTCCAACCCTGTTGTATCGTATTAGCGATAGTGCCAGAGGTAGGACAGAGCCGCGTGAGCGGCGAGGGAACATCGCAGGAGTAGTGGGTGGAACCTTTTCTGTCTCGATGTAAGGTAGCGGGCCGCGGTGCGGCCCAGTCAGATTGGCGGCCGGTCGCTTGGGCCAAAATGGCCGCGGACAAATGCTCGATACCTCTCGCTTTTGCCCTTCCTCCTTCAGAGTTTTCTCGCCTTTTCTACTTCCCGCCGCTCCAAAACGGCGCCCAAGGCCCTCAAGATCTTCCCCAACCGGCCCAAGAGGCTTCCAAGAGGACCCCAAAACAACCCAAGAGGACCCAAAGACAGCCCAAAACGCCTCCAAGACGGCCCCAGATGCCCCTTAAGACGGCTCCAAGAGCGTGCCCAGGCGGACCCGAACGGACATTTCGAGCCCTCGGCCCCAGGAGGCTCCCAGGAGGCCCCAAGAGGTTCCCCAGCGGCCCTAAGAAGCCCACAAGAGATACCCAGGAAGCCCGAAGAAACTCCCAAGGAGGTTCCCAAGAAGCCCCCAAGCGGCCCCCAAGAGGCCCAACAGTTTCTCCCCAGAGGCCCCCGAGAGACTTCCGAAGAGACCCCAAGAACCATCCCTGAGGACTCAGGCCCACGACAGCGTCGTCGTCGTTGCCGCCGCCGTCGTCGTCATCGTCGTCGTCGTCTCCCTTCAGGGTCGGCGCACAGGCCGTGAGGCCTTCGCAGTAGTGCCTCGTGACGGGTCCCAGGATGGCGCAAGAGGGGCTCCAGAGAGGCCCAAAACGTCTCAAGGAGCCGCCAAGATGGCATTCCCACACCCTCAGCTGGCCATCGCTCGGACGTCCTTTCCCAGTGTTTTTTGCTGGTTTCGTGCGTGGTTTTTTCGCCAAGTGATCAAGGATGCTCCTCGATGGTCCTCGCCGAAGGAACAATGCACACGTCCGAGCGATGCCAAGTCAGAGGCGCCAGGACATTCAAAGAAGGCCCTTCGAGGGCTCCTAAGTCAGACGACGTTAGTCGGGCCTATGACGCCTCCAGAGGGCCCAGAGAGCGCCGCAGTCAGCCCAATAAGGCCACATGAAAGCGCCAAAACGCCCCAAAGTAATTGAAGAATCGCCCGCTCCTCCTCATCCTCACCGTCCTTCTCTTCCTCCTCCTCCTACTCCTCGTCCTCTCTCTGTCTCCATCTCTCTTTCTCTCTCGCCCTCTTTTTGTCACCGCTGTCTCCTCGTTCTCTCCCTCCTCCTCGTGCTCCTCGTCGTCGTCGTCGTCCTCCTCCTCCTCCTCTTTCTCTCCGCCCCTGCTCTTCGTATCTTGCTCCGTCAACCAGGGGAGAACTGCAGCCTCGAAGAGGCGCAGGGGACCCGCGCATGTCGCGCCAAGCTGGGGAGCCTCTTGGGGTGTCCGCTCTTTGCTCTGCCAACCCGGCCGCGCGTCCGAATCGGAAGATCGCCTCGTCTTTTTCGCCGTCTCCGGCGCCGTCGTCGCGGTCGTGGTGCCGCGCTGCTCTGCTCGGGACGTGTCCCTTCCTCGCCATCGCTCGGACGTCCATTCCCTGTGTTTTTTTCGGTTTCGTGCGTGGCTTTTTCGCCAAATGATCCAGGATGCTCCTCGATGGTCTTCGCCGAAGGAAAAATGCACACGTCCCAGCGATGCCAGGCTTCTGCAGTGACCATCAGCCGCGCGTCCGCCCACCCGGTTCCGCGGCCCCCCTTCTGCCTTTTCTGGCCTGCGAGCCCAGGCGCTCTCAGCCCTTTGCCCCGAGCAGCGAAAAAGAAGTCTCTTGCGGGGCTACGCGTGCGACAACAGAGCACAAGCTGACGCGGCCCCGCGCCATCACGGCTGGATATATATATATATATATATATATATATATATATATATATATATATATCTATATAAATATACATATATATATATGTATATTGATATCGTGTGCTCGCACGTCCACTCCTGAGTGTCCATCTCCGAGTCGCCCACTGGTGCCTGCCACTCATGTTTGTCAACACCTACAGCTGTTGACGACAAGGACAACGGGGTGGACTCGTAGAGGGTAAAACATTGAGTATACGACGGCAAATTCACTGCCCTCCACTGTCGGGTAAGAATTTGGGGAAAGAGTTGTTGATCTACTATTCTATTCAGGCTGAGCTGGCATGGAAGCGCCGAATGTGCTCAAAGAACCTCTGAACGCTTAGGTTACCACAGTAATGCTGAAACGTAGTCCTGTCCACTCCAGGGGTGAAAGATACGACAGTAGTTAGGACATCAAATATTCACCACCTTGACTTGTGCACATAGAGGGATGACCCAAAGCTCATATATATATATATGTATATATACGGACGGTCAAGCATTTCGATGGGCATAAAAGCAGGGGTGTTGGTTCCGACCCACGGTCCAAAGGAGGGGGAAAAGGAAGTGGAGAAGGGGTCACATGGGAAACTTTTCGCCCGAGACACAATTTGGAAAGCGGCATCCGCATTAACGCAAACGGCCCCGCGAACGCATAAGAATGTTCGATTCCGTGCTTGATGGATCCACCTCTTTCGCGCAACGAAATCACACGTGGTCTTCTTAAGAGAGAACCGAGCACGTTCACAATGAAATAACACCTTGTCTTCTTAAGGGAGAACCGAACACGTTTGCCTTGACTGGACTGTTGAACACAGGGCCCGCTGGGAACGGCTCGTGCAAGATTGTTTGCTTAGACCACTCAGAACTCGAAAGCACAATATCTGTCTCGATGAACGGCAGAAGTTATGTCGTACATCGAAATCCGAACTATACGATGTACCCATTGGGCCGGAGCGAAACAAACGCAGGCAACTCGACGAGTGGACGCCTACGCGAAAACGAAACTGCGCCAGCGTCTGCGGTGCTGCGGGGATCTCACCGCACCAGCTGCACCTGTTCACCTGCCCTCCAGCCCGATATCACCACTGCAGACTACGTCCATGGAAGACGAAGAGGCAGAAATGAGGACCAGCGAGCCGGGCAAGAGATTTGCAGGAGCATCGCAGTATACTGTGTAACGACGGCGCTCCTGGGCAGAAGCATGGAAAGGCTGACGCAAGACTTGGACATGATCACTGCCACCTCGAGGCGAATTCTCGAGAGAGGGGGCGTGCTCAAAGGGAGCGGCAGAGAGGCTCTCGGCTCCTGGCCCCCCAATACGTGTACACCTCCACGGACAGCACGCACACATGCGGCAGGCTCGTGTCGCGTCGGCGTCGACTTCGGCTCGACTTCGGCTTCGGCTTCGGCTTCGGCTTCGACTTCTGCTTCGACTTCGGCTTCGGCTTCGGCTTCGGCGTCGACTTCGGCTCGACTTCGGCTTCGGCTTCGACTTCGGCTTGTCGCGGAGACTTCGGTTTCGAGTTCGGCTTCGGCTCTCCAGGTTCGTATCGCGTCGACCTCGGCTTTGACTTCTCACGCCGTGAGGATCGCTCCGCTTCGTACGATCGGCCCCTCTCGAAACGTCGGACCCTTCAACATCGACCGATCCTGGGTCGCCCGTGGCGTGGGACGTTGCACGCCGACGGTGGGGTCGCCGCGGGTCGACACGACGCGAACCTGCCGCACCATCTTTTCTCGGCGGCGAGCGAGGGGCGGAAGTGAGAAGGAGAAGGCCATCTCAGAAGGCGGCGGGGCATCTCAGAAGCCCTCGCGCCTTCTGAGAAGTGTTCCCTGTCTTCGGGGAAGGCGTCTAGAAAACCTCTCAGAAGGCTGGGGGGCTTCCGAGACCTCTGAGAAGGCCCGCCCCCCCTCACTAAGAGAACGAACGATGCACATGCACATGCACATGCACATGCACATGCACATGCACATGCACATGCACATGCACATGCACATGCACATCATGCACATGCACATGCACATGAGCATGCACATGCACATGCACATGCACATGCACACACACACACGCGCGCACACACACACACGCACACACACACACACACACACACACACGCACACACACACACACTGTTGCGTCGCGGCCACGCGCGCAACGACGCGGCGGAGGCAACCTGAGAAGAGCCCGACTCGCCATCGCTCGGTCGTCCCTCCGCCATGCATGTTGCGGTCTTGTGCGTGTTTTTGTTGCTCGGGGGCAACGACGGGGGGGGGGGCTGGCATAGGGGAGGGAACATCGACCTGCAATCGGCGATACATCGCTGATGTGTCGGCGATAGGCCCACGATAGCGAATCCGCGCCATCCTGGGCGGGGTGGGGCGGTGGGGCTATCGGACCCCTATCGGCGATCAATGGGCGATTGGGGGTCGATGCGCCCCCCCCCCCCTTATGTCTTTCCCCCTGTCGTTGGCCCTGAGTTGCTCGAGCCGCGTCGTCGAGAATCGGCGATGCGGCACGATCCTCCGACCCCATCCGCTCTGCGAGCGGAGGTTAACGACGAGAGGGTCGAACCTACCATGGGGTCCGTAGGTAGAGGACGATGAAGAGGACATATGGAGATCTTTCATCCTCGCGCCCGAGCCGAGAGGATATCACGATAAGTAGATAGAAGGAGGAGAGGAGCGGTCTTCACACACACACACACCACGCAAGCACGCGCGCGCACGCACGCACGCACGCACGCATACAGACAGACAGACAGACAGACAGACAGACAAGACAAGACAAGACAAGACAATACAAGACAATACAAGACAGACAGACAGACACACAGACGCACAGACACACACACAGACACACGCAGACACACAGACACACACGCATACACACGCACACAGATACACACACAGACACACACACAGACACGCACAGACACACAGACACACACACAGACACACACACAAATACACACAGACACACACACAGACACACACAGACACACACACATAGACACACACAGACAAACACACAGTCAAACACACAGACAACACACAGACACACGCCCATACACACACGCACACACACACACACGCCCACACACGCATACACACACACACACGCCAAGCGCCGTGTGCTGTGATGTGCTGTGATGTGATGTGCTGTGATGTGCTGTGATGTGATGTGTGTGCTGTGTTGCGCTGTGTTGTGCTGTGTTGTGCTGTGATGTGCTGCCACACACACACGCACACACGCGGCCTTGCTGCGCTGTGCTGCGCTGTGATGTGTAGCGGTGCGGCATCCGGAGCCATCGGCTCCGTGCCTGGAGCACTTGCCCCGGCCCCCGAAGCGTCGCTCCCGTCGTCCTTCGTCGCGGTCGTGTCGTCTGCCGTTCTCCTGAGCCCTGCCGCCATGGAGCCCGGTGTCCGTGGCGTGTCCTGCCTTGCCTCGTTTTCCCCTCCCCGTCGTCGTCGTCGTCGTCGTCGTCGCCGTCGTCGTCGCTGTCGTTGTCGCCGCCGACGTCGGCGTCGCCGCCGT